GTGTAACAAAATAAAGTGTTACAGTGAATCAGTGCAACAAAATAAAGCATTACAGTGCATCACTGTAACAAAATAAAGCGTTACAGTGAATCAGTGCAACACAATCAAGTGTTACAGTCAATCAGTGAATCAGTGTAACAAAATAAAGTGTTACAGTCAATCATTATAACAAATTAAAGTGTTACAGTGAATCGGTGTAACGAAATAAAGCGAATACAGAAACCAGCGGAGGGACCGAGTTTCAACAGGGATCAGTATAATACCATTACGGCAGATTTAGGTCAGTATTGTGCTCGTGAGTGAGAAAGAGCAAATATCACACACTAGAATACGGTACAAAGGGAGAAAGGAGTGCAGTAAGGGAGAATTAGAGGCATAGGCAGGAGGGAGTGGCATACAGGAAGTCAATATCGGGCTTTTGTCCCGCTGGCTACATTTTTGTTTGTTTTTCTGGCACACAGTTTTACAATAAAATAAAAAAATCCCTGATAGTCTTGTTTTGTGAGTCTTTGGTTTCCAGGCTTCGAACAGTTTTCTTTGTTTTTTCAGCAGCAGCAACAGCCGTCTTTTTAGCTCAGATTTATGAACTCTTAAAAGACTATTGACTTTGCAGCGTCGACCACTTATCAGTGGTTGTCCTTTATTCTTGGCTTTACTTTTGACATACATGTGATTCGCAAAATTCACACACAGTTTGGACGTATTTGCTCCAGGGGGACCTTTACAGACCTGCCTGTTGAGGCTTGAAAGACACACGGTGAAGTGCTCACAACAGTTCAAGTTAGACGTGAATCTTTGGTTTTCTTGTACCAACAATGCTGTCCTGTCTGTGTTCATTCTGCAACTAAAAGAAACGTTTTATGCATATGCGTCACACTGTCTCCACCAATCCTTTGTCAAGCATGCACCTGTGAGTCACTGTATACAACCCGGATTTATAGATCAAGTGAGCAAAGTGATGTGGTCTGAAGTAGACAATTAACATCAACATGGCGCCGCAGCTGGCAGCCTCGGTACTGCCCTCTCTGCTACTTTTTCTGTTTTTGTTTGTTTGTTAAGATAATTATGAGGATTTTCTTTCATTTTAAAAACATTGCATGGAAGGTTTGCGCGCTGTGCCTTTTCTTTTTAATTTGCTGGTGTAAATGTGTTCGTCTCTTTGCATGAGAGTGAGCTGTCAGTCAGAATAAACGGGGAGTGCTGGGGCTGCTGGTATGACAACTGCTGAATACCTGAGATATTTCCTCTGCTAGCAAACAGGCTGAGACACAGAGAGAGAGAGAGAGAGAGAGAGAGAGAGAGAGAGAGAGAGAGAGAG